GACCAAGTCCAGCCCTCATGGAGTTTATAGGCCTCCTCTTATTCAAACCTCACAAGCCCCTAGAGCTGGTCCCATTATCTCTCATTTCCAGGTGCAAGATTAAGGTGCACAGGGAAATGTTACAAAACCAGCAGCACTGGAGAAGGTCCTTCTGACCCCCCGGCCTGTGCTCTTAACATTGCCTCCCACTCCTCCCTGTGCACCTGCCCAGGCACTGAGACAACAGTAGTCAGGGCTGGGAGTTCATTCTGGACCACGGAAGAGGTGATGGACCACATAGTGGTGGAGACCTCACCTGCAGGAGCTTCAAGTTTCAGGATAGTGACAGAAGCTACAGACAAGCCACAGGACCTCTCAGTGAGATGCTAGGTCATCTGATGTAGGCTCTGGGGGCCAGAGCTTTGGGTTCTATGTCAAAACCACTAGAAGCCGCTTTTTATCTTCTGATGCTCAAAACCTTCAATAGATTTATACATGTAGCCATCGCTGCTTCTGGACAGAAAGTCAGATTCAAGGTCACTTTCAGAGTCGAAAAGGTCAGCTCCTGAGTGACAGGGGAGAACCAAAACTGAGCAATCTAGGACCCTGTAAGGGCAATCGGTGCTCCCAGGAAAGTGTCCCAGCACCGGGATAGGGAGGAAATGTGGTTATTCCTGACCTCAGCAATTACTCAAGGTCGTGTTGACTCTGAGATTTCTGGGTGGCTTCTGTACCCAGAAATGCCTTACTGCTTTGAAAGCAGTCAAGAGAAAACAAATTACTGGTACTTTTTTCCTCCCATCCCTGAGCCCTGTGGCCATTCTCAGGAGGGGAGCGGTGCAGGGATGTTCCACTGGGCACAGGGCCAAGCCTGAGGCTGAGACCCAGGTCTAAACCCAGCTCTGCTCCAGGTGGGTCATCTAGCATCCCTAAGGCTTAATTTCCTCCACACTAAAACAAAGGTGGTAATCCCTGCCCTTCTTACTGCAGAGTACGAAATGAATGGCTCAGCAAGCACTAAGAAAGCTGTGCGTAAAACTCTCAAGTATTTCATGTTAACCTCACAACAACTCTGAAAGTAATCACAGTATGTCTGTTAGGGGTTGAACACATCAAGCCCAAGGCCAGGACCAGGCTTCTCTAGTCAGTGGATAATAGAGCTAGAATTTAAGGCCATTTGTCCGTAAGACTAAAAAGCCTATGGCCTTCCACCATGCCACGTCTGCCACATGTCTGCCACGCACAGAAGAGGGATGAAAACACCATCACAGCACATTGCCCTCTGCAGCCACAGCAATAAACAAGGAACTCCCCCCTATAGCCTTCTCTCTCAAAATGAAGGCTAGGGTGTGTGTGTGTGTGTGTGTGTGCACGCCTAATGTGGACACAAGCCTCACAGAGGGCTTGGTGTTCTCACCAAGAATCAAACAATGGAGGGGACGCCAGACCACACTGAGTTAACAGCAGAAATCAAGGAGGCCACTTGAGACTGGTTACACAATAAGGATCCATCCAGAAAGAGAATCAGTGTGCTACACCCTAAAGCAGCACTTCCCAGCCCATGTTCCCTGCCACACCCTCAGCTACTGGCCATTCCTGGGCAGGGTGAAGGTGCACCCGGGGCTGTGTACAGGTCATGGCTGGCCAGCCAGACAGCAGCACTTCGTCTTTCCCAGTCAAGAAAGGATTTTGGAAGACAATGTGTGGACTTGCCATTTTACAGGGAAAACTTTAAAGTCTATTTTTAACATCTTTTCACCTATCAAGAGTGAATTATTTGGGGTGTCTGGGTGGGTGGCTCAGTCAATCTTCCAACTCTTGGTTTCGGCTCAGGTCATGATCTCAGGGTTTGTGAGTTTGAGCCCCGCATTGGGCTCTGTGCTAACCGTGCAGAGCTTGCTTGGGATTCTCTCTGTCCCTTTCTCTC